GAGGCTTTGAACGGTGTCATCGGGGGTCGAAGTGACTTCCAGCTGTCTGTGCGTGGGCCAGGCCTTCTCGCAGGGGAGGAATTGTGCTGTCACACACACCCCCTGTCTTTATAGGCTCCCAGAGCCCATGCAGGGGCTGCACCTGCAAGGACAAGGCGGGAGTGGGGGCTGGGCAACCTTGGAAGGCCAAAGGCAGTGGCTCTGGGGCTGGGCAGTTTCCAAAGCTGCTCGCTGCCTCCGAGGCCTGGCTTGTGCTGGAACTTGCTTCTCCTTTCATCTGCCTGATGGCTTCCTCCTTCCTGGCTGATGGTGCAGGTGGGAGGCGGGAAGCCACCTGCCAGAAACTGAGCTCTGTAAGATAGAATCCTGGGACTGTGGTTGCTGGTCCTAACTCACCCTGGAAGAATCCTCTTGTTTGCCTTATTTGTCTGTTTATTTTTATTTTCTAATTTGTATTTTTTCTCCCTCTCTATAAGAAATATTATGTTTGAAACCCTTCTCTGTTTGAAACACTGTTTCTCTATCTCTGTCTCTCTCTCCTTAGTCTGGAAGTCATTTTGAAATCAAGGAGAATAAAATCTATTTGAGCTCAGAAAGAAAGGAAGGAAGGAAGGAAAGAAGGAAGAAAGAAAGAAAGAAAGAAACCAAGCAGAATAAGCTCCAGGCAAAAAATTATCAATACATAAGTAAACAGAGATTTAGATATATGTCTTTAAAATATATGAGTGTGTTATCTTCCTCTCCAATTTAACCAATGACCTAGCTGCTGCCACTGGGTGCTTTTTCCGCTAGTGACTCTGACACCCCCTCATTTTGGCTCAAAGAGCTTTTATTGAAATGTAAGCAGAAAAACAAACAAACACCCCACTCATTCTAAATGTAAAAATCCAGTGAATTTAACAAATTCCTAGAGTCACTCAAATATTACCAGAGACAATTTCCATCGCCTCCCTGCACGGGAAGTTCTTATAGTTTATAACCGTTCCCAGCCTCAGACTCAGCATCCATGGAGCTGCTTGCCTTCTCGAGGCACAGACTTTTGTACATCTGTGCTGTCCAAATGTGTCCTACCATAGGCAGGGGTTACAGCTTGTCTTCTATCTATTGTGTTTTCAAAGGTCATCAGGTGTATATTTTCATGTTTTAGTATTTATTCCTTTCTATTGCTGAATAGTGTTCCTTTAAATGGGCATATCATAATATGTATGCTTACTGGTTGATAAACATTTGGATTGCTTAAAACTTTGAGACTTTTTGGGTCAGTAAGATGGCTCAGTGGGTAACGGGGTTGCTGCCAAATCTGCAGCCCACATTCATTTCCCTGGAACTCACATGGTAGAAGGAGGGAACAGACCCCCATAAGTTGTCCTGTGAATTCTACTCGGCATCATGGCATACATGTGCCTTCCTCTCCCAACAAATACATACATACATACATACATACATATAAAAATCCAAATGAAAAGCTTCTATATTTGCTATATTTGAGTAATGCTACTACAATTGTGTACATGTCTTTCCTAGAGCATTTCTCTTTCATACGTTCCCAGGAGTGGAATTTGGGCCTTGAAAATTTAATTGGTGTTCATTTTTTTAAAGAAATTGCCAAATCATTCTTCAAAATGGCTGCCCAGTTGTATATTTCCACCAACGGTGAACAAAGAGTTCCATTTTCTCCACTTCCTTGCCAACACTTGTTATTTTCTGTCTTCTATTTTAGCCTTTCCCGGTACTTAGTGGTATTTTGGGGGGTCTTTGGGTTTGTTTGTTTGAGACAGGAATTTGTTGTGTAGCCCTAACTGATCTGAAGCTCACTGTGTAGCACAGGCTGGTCTTGAATGTGTACTAATTCTTCTACCTTTGCTTTACAAATGCTGGGATTACAAGCAAGTACCTTCATTGTGTCTATTTGTACCTCCTATGATAAATGACATTGTACATGATTAGTGTGTTAACTATCATCTCTGTGTCTTTGGTGTATATGTGTGTACATGTGTGTATGTACATGTATGTATGTGTGTACATGTGTGTACATGTATGTCTCTGTGTGTACGTGTGTGCGTACATGTGTGTGAAATGCTTATTAAAATATTCTATTCTGCCAAGGTTTAAAATAAAGTTGTCGTGTTATTGAACTGTAAGGTTTATCTAATTTAAAAACTTTGATAGGAGCTTAATTTCACAAATCCAGTCTCAAAAGTAAGCAATTCAAATAAGAATGTTAGTACGCACGGAGCCGAGGAACTCCTTCAACGGTAGTTTAGGGTTGTGCACACCCACAGAGCGCCAGTGTCCTGATGCCTAGTAGGCAGGCATCTTGCATGTGTAACAGATGATACGGCTGCCCAGATAGAGTGAGGGGTTTAGGTTAGGCCATGTACGGATGTCAACAAGGGCCAGTGTGAGGTCCCCCTAGGGATCTGGAAGTTCAGTGTGGGGCCTGGTGCTTCTCCAAGGATTGCCAGTAAGCAGAACGGCTGTGGACCTTGGACCCAAGCCTTGAACCTATGTTTATTAAAAAAGAAAACCAAAACGAAAACCTGTGCTTATTTGGTGGGTCAGAAACCAGGTGCCCAGGTGCCCGGAGATGATGGTTGGAAGGTTCTGTTGGATTTGGCGTGGCTTCCTGGCTTTGGGGTGTGCTGGCACCTAGACTTTTCTCACTCCATAAAGCTTTCCATCGGGGCCTCTCTGCACAGAGCAGCTGTGCCTCTTCACCCTCAGTGACCCTACCCAGCAGGAAGGCTCAATCTCCTGCCTCAGCTTCATGCTCGGTGGGCTTCCGTGCTGAGGTCTGAGGTTCCCCGGGAAGCCCTCCCTTGTTCTCTGCAGACCTTCTCTGCCGATGGCTAGACCAGGCGCTCAGACCCAGGCTCTCATCTGGATGCCAGGAGAAGGAGGCAGGTTATTTTTAGCTATCTTGCTCCAGACAGAGAGCTAGCTCTCATGTAGACTTTTTAGTGTCTACATCAAATGTGAAATATCACATACCCTGTCGGATCTGAACACTCACTGTTGACTTCTGACCTCTTGCTCTTCCTTTGTTAGCTCTCAATGGAGCCACCCTGCACGGAGGGACTGAGTAAGCTGTGCTGAACTGGTCACACTGAATGCTGCATCTGGCAGAAGTGACCAGACTAAATGTCTCTGCGGCTGCCAGGGGAAGCCACTCAGTGGCTTGTTGAATTCAATGGAAGGAGGTGTTACTAGAGTCGGGGGAAGTGGTGCTATTTTAAAAAAAAAATGACATTGTATAGCTCTGTTTGGTGCTTATTCTCCCTCAAAGACTTCTAGATCAGCTTACATGGTTTGATGTAAAAAGATGCACATTAGGGAATCCAGTTTGAGGCAAATACGATATTCAATGTGTTTAAGTACTGAAGCCTCTTTCTTCTCTGTCTCATTTCTTGGGATGGTTGTCAGATAGTCCGGGTTTGCTTTGGCCCCAGTGAGAGTTGGGTCTTGGTGTCAGCACAGGACAGTGATACCAGGGTCAAGTGCCACTCACATGACTGTCAGATTGCTGGCCTCAGTCTCTAGGGAGGGTGTGGGTCTCCAAGGGTTGACACCAGCAAGAAATCTGAATTATTCTCTCCCTCCCTCCTCTGATAAGATCCAGGGATGGGGGGGGGAGGTCAGGGAAGACACAAGGAGGTGGGACACTGTTATTACTGGTGGTCTGATTGGTGTCTCATGGATTATCTGAGAGCCAGGGTTCTCTATAAATAGTTAATGCCCAGAGAACATAGCACATAGCGTTCCATTCTAAATGATCTCTGGGGGGTCTTGGTAGGAGAACAATGTGGTGTAATCATCAAACTGACTGAAACAATAGTGCTCAACCTTTCTCTTCCCCTGAGGGAGAAAACAAAGAAAATCTCTAAACTAGTCTTGAGATAGACAGGATAACCCCCTCCTTCTTTACTGGGAGTGGGTGGGTGGGTGGAACAGTGGCTTCTTGGGGACTGAGAAAAATGTACTCTTTTTACATATATAGTACAAATGGGTGTACACAGCACAAGATTTATTATCTTCTATCCACTAACATTTTCTTAGGAGGTGATTGGAGAAAATGGTCTAAAAATACTCCTTCAAAGGGCAATAATGAAAACGGTTGCAAAACACGTTTCTAAGCCGAGGGTTTTGGGGCTTTGATGAAAGCATAGTCCTGGCAGGTAAATAAACAAAGTCTACGCTAACTCCTGACACATGGAAGTTCTTCTTGCTCTGCAGAAAGAGCTGCCCAGGGTACTGAGTGATAAGCACTGGGACATCGCTACTGGGAGCATCCCACTCCCATCATTGGTGATAGAAATGTCAAAGGGAGGCCTGGGTGATCTCAGCAATTTCCTGTGTTGTTTCCCTTCCCGTTCGCTGACCTGCTGCTGGGAATTTCAGCATGTGCTGCTTCGCCGTGTAAATGTTCACTGGGCGGCCCTTGACCCTCTAGTGTGCGGGAGAGAGCAGTGCTTTCCAGCACCTCTATTTAAGGCAAGGATGGAGAGGCAGCTAGGAGCCTGGAAGAGAGTAGCGCTCTGGTCTAAGCTTTTTAGCCAGGGCCCTTAGGAAAGGTTCTAAACAGCTTGTCTTGTGTCGGAGGATGGGAATTAAAGGGGAGACACCAGGCTCTCAGGCCATAGGGCTGTCAGTGTTAGCCTGCCTAGACAAAGCTCAGGCCGCAGGCTGCAGGAGTCTTCCCACCCTACTCTGTTGTTGGGGCGTGGAAGGCTGGAAGACTCCTACAGAATCCTCAGATTTATGAGACAGGGACCTCCATTGCTGTGAGTCCCAACTCCTTGTGAGTCCCCTGGATGAGCACATACCCGGATTTGCTTTATCGTGTCTCTCTCTGGCTCTGCTTCTCTCCTGGCCTCTTCCTCCTTCCTCTTCCTTCTCTCCTGGCCTCTTCCTCCTTCCTCTTCCTTTTTCTTTGACCTTGTACAAACCCCAACCAGTCAACAGTTCTGGAGAGTAGATAGCATTTACCTCAATAATGGTAGTCTCTTTTCGTTTCTTTTTAACTCTCAATTCAGATGATGGCTCTAAGCCCACACCCACGATGGAGACCCAGCCTGTATTCGACGGCGATGGTAAGCCATCATTTCCTTTCCATTTTATATGTTTCTTTAACTCTCACTATTATTTTTTCTTTTTTCATTTCAGAATTGGGTAAGATATTAGCTTTACATGTTTGTTTAAGTTCCCATTATCATTTTTTTTCTTTTTTGATTGTAATTTTTTCCCCCAGTGTAAGTTGGTTTGTCCCAACCTTTTAAAAAATGCGAAGGCTCCAAGTGACCAGTGCAGAGTCTCTACTTCTGGAACGGCCCTCTGTTCCTCCCAGGCTTCCAGCCTTAGCCCAATGTCCAACAAAAACATGGTTTAGACAGACCCTCAAAGCTGCCAAGACCAGGGAGTCATGGTGAGAAAGGCTGGCGAGGGCAGTCAGTCTTCGGGAGCACGTGACTCAGAACTTAGAACTGCCCACTCTGTGCCTGGGCTGGAGGAGGGGTAAGATGGAGGTATAGGAATGTCTTCCTCCCAGTACAACCACTAGAGAGCTTCATGAACTAAGCCCTAGGTCCTGGTCCTAGAACTAAGTACCGTGATAGATACTTAAGGAAGAAAGAGTTGGCATCGTTTTGGGAAGAGTTGGGAAGACACGGGACTTGAGCTTGCAAGCAGAAAGGAAGAATCAGGGTATTCCAGACAGCAAGGACTGGCCAAGAACAAGGAAGGAGGGAAAGGTAATGGGTATGGGCTACCGTTAGAGAAGTAGGAGAAAGAGATTGGCAAGTGGAGCTGGCTGGGTGAAGGCACAGGGATTTGGGGAGTTGCACTAAGACATTTGGGAGAAACATTCTAGGTTAAGGGCGATAGTGGATGTTGGCCAAATAAAGGCCGGGAGTCCCTGGAGGCAAGGCCAGTGAATTGGAAGTGCTGGGGTGCAGAAGCCTGGCCCGTGTTCAAGGCAGGGGGCACTTGGGCTTCTTTTCTACAGGGAGTTTACCCAGTGCTCCAGATTCCTGTGACAGGAACAGGAAGTTTGGCAGAATAAGGTTTCCAGAAAGTGTGATAATGAAGTTCAGCTATTAGTGTACAACCTATAGCAAGATTTCAGCCGCACTCAGCGGAGAGTATCTGGGGCACGAGAGAGTAGAACAGAGAAATGAAACAAAACCATGCCACGGCAGCATGGATGGGGATGTGCCTAGGGTAGGCTCAGCTCAGTGAGATCAGAATCCGCAAACATCCCCTGTCACTAGAAAACCTGAGCCCTAGGGGATTGGGTGCAGGATGCAAATATGACACCTGGAAAGATCGTCTCGCTGCTGTCATTGAAGATCTGGTTGCCACATGGTATGTTCAGGATCAGGATTTCCACATTCTCAGTCTGCTTGGTGACCCTGGTACCGAGAGCCTGCAGGCACCCTGGGGCGCCCTAGATGAAGGTGCTTGCTGTGTGCTCAGCTTGACTGTGAGAAGGGGTTGGAGTATGTGTGAGACTCACTCCTCTCTCCCCACACAAAGCAGAAGCCCAGCGGGCTGAATCTGCCCTGCTTCAGCTGTTTCCTCTAAAATGGTCTCTGCGGTGTGTTTGGCATCCGTTTGTTGATTTATCCCCTTTAAATCTTCTCCCAGGGAAGCAGCTGAGAGGGACTTGGCTTGGCCCATGTTCCTCACCTCCTGGGATAATATTTTTATTCCTTGATGGAGTGGCTTGGTGCCTCTGAATTCTGACTACTCTGTGTCCCAGCACAGGATGCCCTGGTTGTCTCTTAAAAGCTGGGGGCGAGAAGCGCTTCCGTCACAAGGAAGAGAGAGTGCGTTGGCACTGGTATGAGGTTGATGTGCCAAGAGGGAGATAGCTAAGCTTTGATGCGTAGGCCTCTAAAAAGCTTGTTACAAGTCTGGGTTACACTCTGTGCTGCTTACTTCTCTCTCCATGTATGTACACACTTTTTTCTCTCTCTTGTTTTTTTTTTTTTTCTAGAAATCACAGCTCCCACCCTATGGATTAAGCACTTGGTAATCAAAGACTCCAAACTGAATAACACCAATGTAAGAAATTCAGGTAAATAATCTTCCTTCGATTGTGTATTTATTCAACTCGTGGTCCCTAGGAGCTCCATTGCTGCCCCATGACTACTCCTCATATGATTTTGTTTTCTTTTCTGCTTCCTTCCTTCCCTCTCTCTCATCTGCCTTCCCTTTCCCTTCCTCCCCCTCTCTCTTCTTTCTCCTCTTCCTCTTCCTCTGACTCCTTTTCTGAGACAAAGTCTCATTATTTAGCTAAAGCCCATATCAAACTAGTGACTTTTTCACTCCAGCCTCCTCCCAGCGCTCAGCTGGGGTGGTGTCACTCTGCCCAGCTTTATAGTGTGGTTTGGGATGACTTGTATCTTCTTCATTTTCTGCAGCTATAAAATAAGGAGTCTGATGAGTTCGTCTCTTCCAGCTTTTGTTTTTGCCTTTTATCATAGCCAGGATCAACTTTTATGAGTAGTTGATCTGTTAGGATGACAAATTTTGTCAAGATGTTTTTAGTATTTTGATTGACTTTCTAAATGCCACACAGGAGAATTTGAAAGGAGCAGGCTGGCCATACAAAAGCAGGGCTTTAAGCTTCGACAGAGACTTAATTCCTCTGTTTTGAGGCATTCAAGCTGCTTACAGTCATGCCCTTCCTGTTTTGGTCTTCTGAGGTCTCAGGAATGGTCAGGGTTTTGGCACTGCCTTAGCAGAAAGGTGATGAATTGTGAAGAGCGATCACATTCGTAGGGTTTACTTGAAACATGATTTGCCACCAACAAAGATCAAACCCAACCAAGTTCACTGGCCATCTATCAAGACTAAATATTCCCCAACAGAAAATGTCCTAGCAGACCAGAGCTGAGGTATTGTCGGGGAGGAGCGTTCTTTCGCTTAAGCCATGGTAATGAGAACTAGCTAGCACTTGGCATAATTTATGTGCTTGGCTGAGTCTAACTTAGCCATATCCTTCCTTTATTAGTGTCAAGGACTAAGGACAAAGGATTCCTGCCTTTGAAGGGGCAGGCAGAGCTGTCCTTGGCTCCTCTACTTTACTCCTGTACCAGCTCTGTGCTATAGGTGGCGGTATGGAGGCCAGAGTTCAGGGAAGGAGACAAAGAGGTGAATGGTGGGCTGGTCAGTGTTTCTCCGTGTGATTGGCTTACTGTTTGATGTAAGATGGAGGTATAGAATGAGATAGTGACATAAAAGAGGCCCTGTGAACAGCCTTGGGCAAGATAGAATAGTCAGCAGTTAGAGCACAGGCTTTGGAATTCGCAAAACCTAGGTATAGCACACAGAGAGTGACTCTAGCCAGAGAAATTCCCTGGGCCTTAGTTCTTACCTACAGGGCAGGGCATGGTCTGTCTCTCAAAAGGCTCGCCACGTTAATGTCTGTATGTTTTTTTGACTGTTGCCTGGCTAGATGATGAATTGTTGGGTGCATGCATTTATTACTGTTCACATTGATGATGACAATACCATGAGGCTTTTGGTGGTGCTATGCATGCTATGACCCAGTGGATGCTATGTAGGTATTTTCCCACTGACATATATCTGTATCTCTTGATTTTGGGGATAGCACCTTGATATATAGTCCAGGGTAGCCTGGAACTCACGTCTTCTTGCCTCAACTTCCTGAGTGCTAAGATTACAGATGTGTGCCACCATGCTTAACCAATGACAGGGTATTGCAGTTAGACTGGAGGAAGCAAGGGACACATGTCCTTCTGAAGTGTGTTCTCTGAGTGTATTAAAGTGACAGCGTCAGGTTCTGATTGTGTCCCCTACTGGTTTATGTAGTTTTCTGTTGTACGATCATAGGGTCATGTTGAGAAATTGTTTCTAGGTAAGTACAACTATCTTCCTCTTCTTGTAGTGGCCCGGCCCCCTTTGTTTCCCATAGTTGGTGACTCTATAAGGTTAGTATATAGAACAGGATAGTTGCGGGAGAGTTAGTTGCTCTTTAGAGGAGACACATCAAGGAAAATGACTAGGCTTTGGTTTCAGTAATGGCTTAACAGATTATAATATTCTAAGTCATTATTACCTGGCCATACTGATTGATACCTGTCAATCTTATTGATGGATTCAGATATAAAAGACATGGTTCTGTGAGAGTATTTAGCAGATAAGATGGCCACCTGACTTTGTGCAAATAAAGTTTTAATGGGACACAGCTACACTGCTGTTCTTGACCATTTTTACCCACGAGACCAGGCTTGAATCGCTACCCCAGAGTCTGGATGGCCTGCAAAGCTTAAGATATTTATTTTATGATCTTCCACAGAGAACATTTTCTGGCCCCCTGGTATCCACAGTTGAATAGGGCGTTTGAGTGGGAGGTACATGCCTAGGGTTGTCTTACTCAAGGTTTTTGGCCCCTACATAGAGCAAGCAGACGTAGGAGCTGTGACTCCTGAGGAGTTTCCTGATGCTCCAGGTAAGCCTGTACCGTCCTAGGAAGTCCTGGGGCCACTCACAGGCGCATCATCTCACACGGACCATTCTCAAGCTTGACCATCCTGTTCCGGGGTATGCAATCGCAACTCATTGCCAAGGAGGCATCATAAGGTCTGGATTTTCAGGCAGTGGAGTAGGGTATCTTTCACACACCAGCCACATACTGGTCGAAGCATGGCCTTTGGAATCAGATGGATGTGCACATCTGGTTTCCCAGACTTGACTTTCCTTACCTTGGAAAGCCAATCAGCTTCTCTGAGTCTTGCTTTCCTTATATATAAAACTAAGTTATTGCCCTTCGGGATTTTGTGAGGCTTCAGTTTTAGACCTGTAATTCATGGGTTTACCATAAGTGATTTAAAAGGAAAACAAAGTGAAGGAAGCTGCTTTGGTGGAGTGTTTGCTTGTCCTGTGCTCCCCATCCTCTCATGTTGGCACATTCGGTCAATGAGGCAGGCAGACATCCTTTGATGGACTTGCATATGGTCCATGGCTTTAGGTGAGGACTGGAGCCTTAGAGTTATGCGCCTGAGGCCAGTTTTCATTAGAGTTTGATGGAGGATTGTGCATTCAGATGAACTTCAGACCACGCTTGGGGAGGTTGGAGTCAGACTCTGTGAAGTACGCCTGGGTGAGAGCTCATCTTCTCAGCCTTCTCCCAGAAGGGGAAAAAAAAGGCAATTCCAGTTTCTTTTACACCCCAAACATCCTTTTTTCACACTCAGACCCTGTGACGCCAGGTTTGTTTTCTGGCCTGGGGACTGTTGATGTTGGAAAGGTTCCACTGGGCGCCTGAAAGTTGTGCAATAACATGACACACGCCTGAAGACGTATCCAGTCTTCTCCCCTCCTAGAGGTTCTGGCTCTTTCTGGAAAGCTCTGCCGTGTGTTCATATGGCCGTTATGGACTTTTGAGTCCTTGGCAACTTTGGCATATCCCAATTTGTCTTTCTGATCCTCTCTTCCTTGACCACCTCCCTCATGCCTCACCTCCCAAGTATTCGTGGCTCCAGGAATCCTTTCTGTATCTGGGAGGATGATGTTCCTAGCCAGCTAACACCCCAGATCTTGGGAGCAGTGTGTCCTAGTAGAGTGCTGGCCAGAGCTTCTGCTGCTTTTTCAAGGAAATGTGAACTCCTGCTGAGTTTTTTTTTTCATCCAGAGTTTGGTATCATGGCATTTCTTAAAATACTCGACATTTAAAATATGTTTAAGTCATATCTATTTATAGAAGAAGGTAAAGCAATAAGACAAATAATAAGAATTAGCCTTCATCAAACCCCTTTCACCCCCCTAGGTCTAAGCTGACTACATAAAGATACTTTATAAGCTTATAAGTCTTTTTTGTCTCTTTATAATTTCTGTCTTTTTGTTTCTATATGACAAAATACCATGCTTCCTCTCCCGAGAAAGTGCTATCTCTCAGGAACTGGGGTCATGGATGTGGCCACCATGCTTGCTGTGCACCATGGCAATGCGCCAGGGCTGCAATGTTTCCTTCTGTCCCGGAAGCCCAGGCTAGTGATCATAGCCTCTGGGTTTGTCTCTGCATCCATATCTTTTCATTTCCTTGCTTCTTGTCTTTCTTGCAAAACTCTTTCCTGATGTGATCAGGGTACCCAGAACCTGGCCCCATGAGTTAAATTCGAAAGCCTTTCCTTTCTTGCCTCCATGATCGGCATTTGTGTCTCTGTGGATGAAGCAGTTTATGGTCACTCTGTTCCCTGGAGACAGAGCTGCCATTGAGGACCCAAAATGGAAACACGGTTCTTTGACATTTTTCAATAAAATAAGATTCTCATTTTTTCTTGCATGAGAATATCTTTCTGTGTTTGCTCAAGGTGCGGTCACATGTCACAGGTAGACCAGTTGACAGTATTCGTGCCCTTACTCATTTGGGCACCGTTTTTCTTGTAGGCTGGCTGCTGGGCCATTGGCTACAGTTGAGATTGCTTTCCCACCCAGGACATTTCTGCTGGGAGAGCTGCTACGACTGGGGTTTAGGGTCATGGAGGCAATGGCACCTCCTGACTGGATCCCCACCCCCACAAGTCTATACTCTTTGCCCAACTGGAAACTGTGGGCTGATGTAATGACCCGAGGCTGGAAAAATAAACAGCTTGCAAGGAAACCAGTGGTAGCCGTTGTAAGCAAATACCCCACAGCCACCTGGAATCTCACACATGACGTGATCGGGAGGAAGAATGAGTAATCCACCAGCATTCGCAACGGGGACGGGCCTGGGCTTGTGTGCATTTAAAATATCTATATAAAAACACATCCTGTTACTGGCCTTCTTGCTGTCTGCCCTTTGGACTCATGAAGATGCTTTGGTCAATCATGGCCAATAGGGTTGAGATGAGGATGGGGCCAGATGGTCTTCCAAGGCTTTCCCTTGGCAACAAAGGCTTTGCCCTTTCTCTACTATTTTCCTTTGTGGAGAGGAAAGGTGATTTTCACTGGGGGCCTGGGAGCCAGGTCTATGGTCCAGTTTGACCTTGCTTTCATATTGGCTTTCTTGGTTACGTTACTCTGTCGCCCCACTGTCTGTTTCTTGTAGTGTTGGAATGAGAAGTGTGT